ATTAGAGTTGCTAATGAATCAAAGACTAATCCAAAGGGGTTCTTTCAAGTGTATAGGACAAAGGTGAAGGAAAAAGTAGGACCTCTGAAACCTGGGAATGGACAGCTGACGGATAATGAACTGGAAATGTCTTCCTTATTTAATGACTATTTTTTGTCAGTTTTTACACAGGAAGATGTAAATGAGATTCCAGTAATTAACAATTATTTAGTTCCTGATGAATTTAAGTTAACTAATATTACTGTTACCAGGGACATGGTTATTAAACAGATAGACAAACTGAAACAAAATAAGTCCCCGGGACCCGATGAGTTGTTTTCAAGGGTACTTAAGGAATGCAAGATGGAGCTTAGTCAGCCATTAACGAGTGTATTCAACGTGTCCATCCTTACCAGTGTTGTGCCAGAGATGTGGAAGATGGCTAATGTGGTTCCTATATTCAAATCAGGGGATAAGTCCACTCCTTCAAATTACCGTCCAATAAGCCTGACATCTATAGTGGGCAAGTTATTAGAATCAATTATAGCTGACATTATCAGAAGTCACCTTGAAGAGCATAACTTGATAAATGAATCTCAGCATGGATTCACGAGAGGTCGTTCCTGCCTGACAAACTTACTGACATTCTTCAATAGAACATTTGAGGCAGTTGACAGTGATAAGGAATATGATATTGTTTATTTGGATTTTAGTAAAGCCTTCGACAGAGTACCTCACAAGAGACTCTTAAGAAAAGTGGCAGCTCATGGTATAGGAGGTAAAGTTCTAGCATGGATTGAGGCATGGCTTACCAATAGAAAGCAGAGAGTTACCATTAATGGAGTGAAATCTGAATGGGGATTAGTCACTAGTGGCGTTCCACAAGGATCAGTTTTAGGCCCTCTCTTGTTCATAATTTACATTAATGACCTTGATGAAGGGATTACTAGTGACATGAGTAAGTTTGCTGATGATACAAAGATAGGCCGTATAATTCACTCTGAGGAGGATATCAATGAACTCCAGGACGATTTGAACAAATTAATGTCTTGGTCTGAGAAATGGCAGATGAAGTTTAATGTGGATAAGTGTAAGGTACTTGCCCTTGGTAATGAAAATAACCCTCGAAGCTATAATCTAGGTGAAGTAGAGCTTGGTCATACAGAATGTGAAAAAGACTTGGGAGTCATGGTAAGCAGAAATCTAAAGCCAAGACAGCAGTGCCTCAGTGTGCGCAACAAGGCCAACAGATTACTTGGATTTATCTCAAGAAGTATAAGTAACAGAAGTCCAAAAGTTATTTTGCAGCTCTATACATCACTAGTGAGGCCTCATTTGGATTATGCTGCTCAGTTTTGGTCCCCTTACTACAGGATGGACATAGACTCATTAGAGAACATACAGAGAAGAATGACTAAAATGATTTACTGTGTAAGGAACCTCCCGTATGAAGATAGACTTAAAGCCTTAAATCTCCACTCTCTGGAGAGGCGTAGAATGAGGGGAATATCATTGAAGTGTATAAGTGGATGACGGGCATAAACAAGGGAGACATTAATAAAGTACTGAGGGTGTCGAACCAGGTAAGAACCAGGAATAATGGATTTAAGTTGGATAAATTTAGATTTAGAAAGGACATAGGTAAGTACTGGTTTTCTAACAGAGTTGTAGATGCGTGGAACAGTCTTCCCAGTGGGCTGATAGAGGTTAGGACCTTGGGTAGCTTTAAGAAGAGACTGGACAAATATATGAGTGGGAGGGGCTGGGTTTGATTGGTGTCAAGGGGTACGGGAGTTATTTCTTGAGTAGCTTTAGGTAGATGTCGTTTTGATAAGGACCTGCCTCGTATGGGCCAGTAGGCCTTCTGCAGTGTTCCTACATTCTTATGTTCTTATGTTCTTATAACAGCAGAGTGTAATTTTGGTTCTTGCAAGCAAACACCAACAGAGGAAAATTGGGAGAGCAACGTCTGAAGCTCACCCTGATTACCCCTAAGGCCGCGTATATTCCACTGTAAATAGGCCACGATTGGCAATGATAAAGATACTAGAAATCCGCAGGTAAGGGTACTTACGGACTAGAGGGGTTAGAGAAGTTCACATGCGGTGGCAGCCGAAAACGTTCAAGCAGCGAAGGAACAGTGCGCTGTGAAGAAAGGAGTTGCGCAGATGGAGAAGAGGAAAGAGAAGGAACAGAGGGTGGATCAGTGTCCATCGATGGTTTGGTCTCTGCAATATATTCAGAGATTGCTTCAAGTGTTTCGGAGTTCAGAGACGTCATATGGGAGACAATATTGGAGATGGAAGGATGAGTAGTTTGAGTAAAGATCGGAACTGTAATGGACTGTATCAAGGGAGGGAGGGGGCAAAAGGGTGAAGGGAACTGGAGAAGTGTGGGAGGGGACAGAAGAGGCAGAAACCTGGGAGGTGGCAGAAGAGGAAGAAACTTGGGAGGGGACAGAAGAGGAAAGCACAGTATGAGGAGGAGGATGAACCTCCACGCTTGTATCCGAGCCAGCGAAAGGGCAAGACCCAGGTACAGAGACTGGGAAGGTAAAGTGTGGAGGTGGATGAAGAGAAGGAGGGGTTAAAGGAGATTTTTTGGACTTCTGAGAAGCAGAGGGACGATTGGGAGGTGGTGTCGTACGAGGTCGTGTCAATACCGGGGTTTGTGAGGGAGAACATGAAGAAGTGAGAACAGACCGAGGTGTTGAAATAGGGACATCTGAGCCCAGGACAGCAAAAGAATTAGATACAGGAGGGACTATGGGACTGGCAACCGCAGAGGTGGCTGCAGAAGATGGGACTCCAGAAGTGGGGAGACGTTTCGTAACATGAGAATAAGAAACATGGGGTAGTCTCCCTTGAGGCGGAGATGAGAAACCGCCATAGCATAAGGGAGACCTTCTGCCTCTTTGAGGCAACGAATTTCCAGCTCATTCAAGTAGACCTGGCAACGGCGAGAGTACGAAGGGCGAGCCTCATGACAATTAAGGCAAGAGGGAGGTCAACTGCAAAACGTATTAGAATGGTCATCGGCAACACAGACTGGGCATTCGGCTATAGATCTGCGATATTTTGTTGGGTGGCCAAATCGCCAGCAATTTCTACACTGTTGCGGTGTAGGGATCACCTTTCGAACTTGTAACCGATGTCCTGCTACATAAACAGAGGATGGGAGTTCATGGCTGTCAAAAGTTAAATGAACCACATTGCAAGGGTATCGTCTCCGCCCGCGGGCAGGAAGAACATAAGTGTCTACCTTGAGAATTGGGAGATCTTGGAGTTCCAGCTGTTCGAGAATGTCATTGCCACATGTCTGGAAATTCTGTTGGACTATGGTATAGGGCAGAATGACTGTACCACTACAAGAATTGAGGGAATGATGTTTTTCGATAGTGATAGGAATAGTATCGATATGTGAAAGAAGAGAAAGATCATGAACTTGGGTAGCATTCTGGACTCTGATGATACGCGTACCACTCTTAAGAGCATAAAAGGAAATATCTCTACCAACATGGCGTAGGAGCGCTTTGCCAATGCATACTATGGTCGGAAAGATAGGTAGTGGGAGAGGCCCGTCTTAAAGTAAAGAATTTAGTCCATTGTGTGGTCTGAAACTGAGTGTGGAGAGGGAGTGCATGACGTGTCGGTCTCTTCCGAGTAGAATGGGAAGGTAACGAAGTAATGTCATCAGGAGATTGTCGTTGGCGTTTAGAAGTGAGACCAGAGTTGGTCCGACATGGGACGGGCTGGCGATTCGAAAATTGCTGCACCGTAGAGGGAGAGGCCGGAAGCATAGTCAAAGGAGAGCGGAGGTGAGACAAATCAAAGGAGTCAGTCGAAACCCCGGCACCTGAAGCGGGTGATGAAACAGCACCAACAAGAGGTACAGGGGTCTTAGGAGTGTCTGAAGAGTGGCCAAAAGACGAGGCGAGGTCAGAACGGGGTGCGGTAACAATAAGGGGCCCAGGGGTAGCGGGGTCATGGATTGGGGACTCCATGGTTAGGTTACTTCTTTCTTTTTGTTTTTAAGAAAAAAAAAGAAAGAAAAGAAAATAAAAATAAAAAAAAAGAATAAAAAAAAGAGGGGACCGGGGAGGGATAGTTCCTAGGAGGAATGAAAGGGCCAGAAATCTCCCTCCGCGCCCAAGAGGACCTCAGCACCGCAAGTAACGCAGATGCAGCATGGAACCTGTACCATACCCTACCCTTCAGGCCAGTAAACCAGCAATCCGGGATAGCAACCTCACATCTGCCGAGCCACCTCGGTGGATAAAAGAGAGGGCGGCCAGATATCCGCCACAAAGCATACCTCCTTCGGCCACCACCCCTGGAATCCGAAAGGTGGCTTCCAGAGATACACTCATCGCCCGAAAGACACCCAAAGCCACCCTCCGGGATACCGGAGAGGGATCAGGACATCCCCAGGCGATCCAGATTCCATGGCAAACTACGACACCGCCAAGAACCTCAACGGAATGGGATGGACCCTGGTACCCTTTCCCCTTCCTAGGAACTAACGTGCCTGTGGGAAAATTCCAAAGGCCAAAAAAAGAAGGGCAAAAGGAAAGGGTGGGGGGGAGGAGGAGGAGGAAAGGAAAAAGGGGAGGATGGGGAGGATGGGATAGGGAGGGGGGATTGGGGGGTAATTAGGTTCGGTCTGAGGAAGGAGACCGACAGGTCTAATTCCTCAGACCAAGAGCCTCTTCACCACGCCAAGGAGCCCCCCTTGAAGAGGATTAATCTCTAAAAAATGTATTTTTTGTGAATATTTTTGGGTGTCTGAAACTGATTAATTGTACTTACATTAATTCTTATGGGAATAATTATTTTGGTTATCATCCATTTTGGTTTTAGGCCGGCCTTCTGGAACGGATTACAGCCAATAACCAAGGGTTCACTGTATATGAAGAGTAAAGGTATATCAATATAAGAGCAGTAAAGAGGTGAAACCAATTTAAGAACCCTTCATGAGAGACTAAACTCACTCACTGCAAAGCTAAGAAGTATTACACTTACCTGAATGATGATCCTCTTGACAGAACTCTGGTCTTTTGACGTGGAACTTTTTTGACGTGTGAACATCGGAAGAACCCATGGTGCTCGACACATTTTTTCCAAAAATTTTTGCATTCATTTCGGCCATCAAAGAAGAACTCAACAATATCCTTGTAATAGCCCTGTAACATTGTTTGCATTTGATAAACTAATTTAAACGCTCCCATTTATACTTCCCTGAGCTTTAAGAAAAGTTTAAACTACAGCATTACAGTAAAACAGGCCTCTGCCAAAATTTTTATGTACAAATTTGGATTTAGAGGGAAAATTAACAGAGACAGTAATACAAAGAAAAATAAAAGTCATAATACCATGTCTAGAATGATGCACAAATAAACCACACTCAAAGAGGAAACTTTAACAATGTTTCAGTCCGTTTAAGAATATTATCCAGATGTGACTTGATAATACTTCAGGAAGAACCACAACTTTCCCTAAAATTTCCTCTCTCAGTAAGTTATTTGTGAACAGTACTACAATTTTGACTAGAAATTATATTTTTTATATACTCACATTTTAAGTCACACTACTGTATTCAAATTCTAATTTAAGGGAATATAAATTACAAATGTTTATGTTCACACCATTGTCTTCAACTAATAATAACGACAAACCTATACAAACCTGACTATAAAATATTGAGGAACATTAAAAAAATTCACATTACCCCTAACACAAACCAAAAATGGCACAATTTTTGTCATAGTTTGTCATACTATTACTGTATTAGGAATTTAAGTATTATGCAACTGTACACATGAAATGTTGCCTTAATGATTTATATGTAGTCAATAAACCTTAAACCTAACAGAAAGAGACTGCAAATATTGTATTTCATATCACAGCAAGAGAGAAGTCTCCTTTCCTCCACTCTCTACAAACCCAGAGTTCTTTCCCACACCACTCAATATAATTACTAAATTTGCAGTTCTTGACCAATCTTTCAAGGAACAAATATGAGTGCATCATGCTGAATAAAATGAACATACACAAAATATCAATGCATTTGATAATGAAAAAAATTTTGAAAATAATACAGTACAATAGCTAGAATTCAGTTTTACCCGTGATCTTCTTGTGGTTGGTTTTGAGGGTTATCCTACCCTCACAGCCCAGCCTAAAGCCAAACAAAATTGTAAATATTAAATCTATAGTTTCTGACCAATCTCTTCCAAACAAATATGATCTCACCACATATGCACAAAATGAACATGTTCAAAGCATCAAAACATATTATGAAAAAAGAAAGAACAAATAATTTCCATAAAATTAAATAAATATTCCCAGTGTTTATATCCTCAGATTCTCATTCATAACAAATTACTTAATTTTAAAGTGTGCTGTTTGTATGTGCGTATGTTCATAATTCAAGTATTCCTTGTACAATGAATAATTTATCACAAATTGTCACTAACACTTCTTATTTAGTCTCAAATAAAATTTCAGGTCACCCACCATTTTTAAATCAATACTACAAATAGCATTTTTAGCGATAAAGTACTGTATTTAAGTTTGAAATTTGTTTCTGAAGCAACAAAACATAAAATAACTGTATTAGAAAAGAAAACTTGACAAAAAGAGATTCTCTTATTTATTTTTCTTTAGCAAACTCAAAAATCCTTAAAATGTTTACCCTTCCCCAAAAATCTGCTTATGTACTGGACAAAATGAACAAAAAACCACAATACCAGATTTTGTCCATAGTATTAGTGTCCAATGTCTTCTGAAGTATCAGACTAGCCCAATGACTGACATTTGTCCAGTATGGGCCAGAACGGCCACATCCAGGACCTCTTCTTTTTCGTTGTTTGTCCCTGAGCAGTAGGCTACCCACATCAGTTTACTGTTTGTGCTCGTCCACACATACACTTCTCATTCACACTCTAACTTTCCCTGGATTTACAGCTTTGTGTGACTTTATAAACATATTAAGTAAAGTGCAATTAACAATGATTTCCAAAGCAAGTGGTGAGCCAAGAGGAAACATTGTTTCCAGCATTATGGAGAAATTTAAACTAATAAAGAAGATTAAGTCTGGCATCTAAGTGGCATGGGTATGCGAGGAATACTGTATTAAACGAAGTGTCTGATATCCGTAGAATCAGGACAAACTTACAGACTATGATCTCATGTTTAGTGTAGACATCAGTGAATACAGCTCCTCTGACTCGGAATAACTTTTATAGTACTGTACGTTATTTACATTAATCATATTCACCTTTTCATGATGGAGAGATGAGGTGTAATCTGCTATGATCAATGACAATGACTCAGACTAACTTTTATTGAGTCACTATTATTGATAACAGCAGTATACACCTCATCTCTCCACCATGAAAAGGCGAGTAAAATTATTGAAAATAACACATGAGTGTTGTAAAAGTCAACTAAAATGCCGGGAACAATGGGCTAGTAACCCCTTTTCCTGTAAAGATTACTAAAAAGAATAATAAGAAGAAAATTGTCAAAGTGGGAAGTCTGAATGTGCGTGGATGTTGTGCAAATGATAAGAAAGAGATGATTGTGGATGTTATGAATGAGAAGAAACTGGATGTCCTGGCTTTAAGTGAAACAAAGCTGAAGGGGGTGGGAGAGTTTCAATGGAGAGGAATAAATGGGATTAGGTCAGGGGTTTCAAATAGAGTTAGAGCTAAAGAAGGAGTAGCAATAATGTTGAAGGATAAGCTATGGCAGGAAAAGAGGGACTACAAATGTATAAATTCAAGGATTATGTGGAGTAAAATAAAGATTGGATGTGAAAAGTGGGTTATAGTAAGCGTGTATGCACCTGGAGAAGAGAGAAGTGTAGAGGAGAGAGAGAGATTCTGGGAAATGTTGAGTGAATGCATGGGGAGTTTTGAATCAAGTGTGAGAGTAATGGTGGTTGGGGATTTCAATGCTAAAGTGGGTAAAAATGTTATGGAGGGAGTAGTAGGTAAATTTGGGGTGCCAGGGGTAAATGTAAATGGGAAGCCTTTAATTGAGCTATGTGTAGAAAGAAATTTGGTAATAAGTAATACATATTTTATGAAAAAGAGGATAAATAAATATACAAGGTATGATGTAGCACGTAATGAAAGTAGTTTGTTAGATTATGTATTGGTGGATAAAAGGTTGATGGGTAGGCTCCAGGATGTACATGTTTATAGAGGGGCAACTGATATATCGGATCATTATTTAGTTGTAGCTACAGTTAGAGTAAGAGGTAGATAGGAAAAGAGGAAGGTGGCAACAACAAGTAAGAGGGAGGTGAAAGTGTATAAACTAAGGGAGGAGGAAGTTCGGGCGAGATATAAGCGGCTATTGGCAGAAAGGTGGGCTAGTGCAAAGATGAATAGTGGGGGGGGGTTGAAGAGGGTTGGAATAGTTTTAAAAATGCAGTATTAGAATGTGGGGCAGAAGTTTGTGGTTATAGGAAGGTGGGGGCAGGAGGAAAGAGGAGTGATTGGTGGAATGATGAAGTAAAGGGTGTGATAAAAGAGAAAAAGGTAGCTTACGAGAGGTTTTTACAAAGTAGAAGTGTTATAAGAAGAGCAGAGTATATGGAGAGTAAAAGAAAGGTGAAGAGAGTGGTGAGAGAGTGCAAAAGGAGAGCAGATGATAGAGTGGGAGAGGCACTGTCAAGAAATTTTAATGAAAATAAGAAAAAATTTTGGAGTGAGTTAAACAAGTTAAGAAAGCCTAGGGAAAGTATGGATTTGTCAGTTAAAAACAGAGTAGGGGAGTTAGTAGATGGGGAGAGGGAGGTATTAGGTAGATGGCGAGAATATTTTGAGGAACTTAAATGTTGAGGAAGAAAGGGAGGCGGTAATTTCATGCACTGGCCAGGGAGGTATACCATCTTTTAGGAGTGAAAAAGAGCAGAATATAAGTGTGGTGGAGGTACATGAGGCATTACGTAGAATGAAAGGGGGTAAAGCAGCTGGAACTGATGGGATCATGACAGAAATGTTAAAAGCAGGGGGGGATATAGTGTTGGAGTGGTTGGTACTTTTGTTTAATAAATGTATGAAAGAGGGGAAGGTACCTAGGGATTGGCAGAGAGCATGTATAGTCCCTTTATATAAAGGGAAAGGGGACAAAAGAGATTGTAAAAATTATAGAGGAATAAGTTTACTGAGTATACCAGGAAAAGTATACGGTAGGGTTATAATTGAAAGAATTAGAGGTAAGACAGAATGTAGGATTGCGGATGAGCAGGGAGGCTTCAGAGTGGGTAGGGGATGTGTAGATCAAGTGTTTACATTGAAGCATATATGTGAACAGTATTTAGATAAAGGTAGGGAAGTTTTTATTGCATTTATGGATTTAGAAAAGGCATATGATAGAGTGGATAGAGGAGCAATGCGGCAGATGGTGCAAGTACATGGAATAGGTGGTAAGTTACTAAATGCTGTAAAGAGCTTTTATGAGGATAGTGAGGCTCAGGTTAGGGTGTGTAGAAGAGAGGGAGAATACTTCCCGGTAAAAGTAGGTCTTAGACAGGGATGTGTAATGTCACCATGGTTGTTTAATATATTTATAGATGGGGTTGTAAAAGAAGTAAATGCTAGGGTGTTCGGGAGAGGGGTGGGATTAAATTATGGGGAATCAAATTCAAAATGGGAACTGACACAGTTACTTTTTGCTGATGATACTGTGCTTATGGGAGATTCTAAAGAAAAATTGCAAAGGTTAGTGGATGAGTTTGAGAATGTGTGTAAAGGTAGAAAGTTGAAAGTGAACATAGAAAAGAGTAAGGTGATGAGGGTATCAAATGATTTAGATAAAGAAAAATTGGATATCAAATTGGAGAGGAGTAGTATGGAAGAAGTGAATGTTTTCAGATACTTGGGAGTTGACGTGTCGGCGGATGGGTTTATGAAGGATGAGGTTAATCATAGAATTGATGAGGGAAAAAAAGTGAGTGGTGCGTTGAGGTATATGTGGAGTCAAAAAACGTTATCTACGGAGGCAAAGAAGGGAATGTATGAAAGCATAGTAGTACCAACACTCTTATATGGATGTGAAGCTTGGGTGGTAAATGCAGCAGCGAGGAGACGGTTGGAGGCAGTGGAGATGTCCTGTCTAAGGGCAATGTGTGGTGTAAACATTATGCAGAAAATTCAGAGTGTGGAAATTAGGAGAAGGTGTGGAGTTAATAAAAGCATTAGTCAGAGGGCAGAAGAGGGGTTGTTGAGGTGGTTTGGTCATTTAGAGAGAATGGAACAAAGTAGAATGACATGGAAAGCATATAAATCTATAGGGGAAAGAAGGAGGGGTAGGGGTTGTCCTCGAAAGGGTTGGAAAGAGGGGGTAAAGGAGGTTTTGTGGGCAAGGGGCTTGGACTTCCAGCAAGCGTGCATGAGCGTGTTAGATAGGAGTGAATGGAGACGAATGATACTTGGGACCTGACGATCTGTTGGAGTGTGAGCAGGGTAATATTTAGTGAAGGGATTCAGGGAAACCGGTTATTTTCATATAGTCGAACTTGAGTCCTGGAAATGGGAAGTACAATGCCTGCACTTTAAAGGAGGGGTTTGGGATATTGGCAGTTTGGAGGGATATGTTGTGTATCTTTATACGTATATGCTTCTAAACTGTTGTATTCTGAGCACCTCTGCAAAAGCAGTGATAATGTGTGAGTGTGGTGAAAGTGTTGAATGATGATGAAAGTATTTTCTTTTTGGGGATTTTCTTTCTTTTTTGGGTCACCCTGCCTCGGTGGGAGACGGCCGACTTGTTGAGAAAAAAGAAGAGAAGAGAACACACGGTACTATAAAATTAATATACAGTACAGTACTTTACTGTAGTGCTACAGGTTACAATACCTGTATTTCTAGTGTCTGGCTGTCTTCTGCGTTAGACAACTGGACGATCATGAAACACTGATTTCATAATTTGGAAGTTTTGGACAATCGGCGATCTTGTACATCCCCTTTCCTATATTACTCCATTAATAAGAGGGTTCACTATTTTTACTACTTGCCATTTCAAACTTAGTCTACTGTAATACTGTTTGTACAATATTTGTATTTCTTTATTGAAGTAGAAGACATGTTTAAAAACAGTGGTAATAATGTGAACTGAAAGAATACCGGTGATAATGAAGTGTTTTCATCAAGCAGACTTGTACTGTAATACTTGTAATACTGTGCCTAGATATGTACTAGAAATGTACAAGTGAGAAAAATTAAAATACATTACTAATATTAGCCCCACATTAACATTCCCCATTATTCAAAGCATGAAGAATGACTAAGAAAAAGTAAAGCATTTTTACTAACATCTTAAGTATTCAAAATAATGCAAAAACAATCTTTTACTGTAACGGGTTAAACAAAAATAGAATAATGAGAATTCTACAATTTAAGAAGTGTTCTTAATAATGATCACACAGAACATTAACAATGCAAGAGAGATTCATTAAAATGTAATAATGAATGATTTCTCACATTAACACATCTGTAAATAGTTATAATGTAGCAACTAGGACTTTTTCTCTTGTAATACTTATGAGCAGGGGTTTATAATTATGAATTTGGATAAAAGCATTTAGTGTAAAGATTTACAAGAGAGATTGTGTGTGGGTCAACACACCTCTGGCCACCGTCCTCCATATGGCAGCTTGAAGAAACAGAAATAAAATGTACTACAGTATTCCAAGAGCATCTGCACCCTTCTTTTCCTACTTGACCTTAAACATTAAGGGATCTCAATCTTTTATCTTATTTACAATATCTATGATTCATAATGTATTTTTTAGATATGAAATAAACACTATTTTAGTTAACAATCAAAACACTGTATTTTTTCTAATATTCCAGTTAGTTTAACAGTCCATATACGACATTTACATTATCATGCACTTTAATATGGATTCCACTGCTTCCATATACAGTATCTCTTATTTGAAACTTAAGGTGAAAGTAACAGTGCAAATTTTGTGATGAGTGAAGCAACTGCAGCACAGCCAGTAAGTTATTTAACTACATTAGAGCTACTTTTTCTCTGAAGACAGAATGAAATGTAAGTTTTGACACTTCAATAATGTGTAAATAATTCTATTTCTAGGCATCATCATATTGGATTGCCAAAAAAATCTTTCTGGTTACACAAAATAATTAATTTATTAATAAACAGAAATTTAATTCTGTATTTTTTAAGTGTACTATATACAAAATTACTGTACCCACATTTAATATTAGATAGTATATTGCTAAGTTATATAAATAGCAAATATGATGTTTACAACATTTGCAAAAACTGAAACAATTCAACATCAAGACCAGAGATTTGTTTTAATTTACATGAATGAGGTTATTATCCCAATTTTGAATTTTGAAGCATTTAGGTGTGATCAAACAGCAATAATGGTTGTGACAACCTGGCAGATACTCATCTATAAATGAACCTGCAAAGTTTCAAGCAACTATGACAAACTGCAAGATATAGATATATGATATGATTATAATTTGATCTTTTGGTCATGTAACACAAATTATAACCACCAAAAATGAATGCCATTATTGCTACAAATCTACACCATGCCAGTAAGGTAACGGCTGGCCAACAGTTAGTAAGTTAGAGACATGCTGTAGGCGGGCTGACAAAACACACAGCTGATTGACACATTACTCTACCTCGCCCTGAGTGGGGGGGGATGACCAGCCAATCACAAGGGGGAAAGGGGGAAATAAGAAATCATGTTGAAATTCACTGTAGGTACTATTAATTTCATTATAATTTTACATATAAATAATAGCAGAATATGTTCAGTAAGACTTAAAGTATATATTAAAGATTTTCCTACAATACAGAATATATAATTTCATAGTACAGTATATCAATTATGATATGGCACTTATTTCTATCCATTAATATATGTATATATAGTATCAGCCATCTTCACTGTACAACTACAGGTTTAAAGATATGACCTGAAAATCATTGAAATTTTGAAGCCCTACTGTACTGCTGAAGAGAGTACTTTAGTATTTTGTTTTAAATTTACTAAATACAACAAAGCTGTAAGCCCTATACTACAAGTAGAGATAACTACAACAATATAAGGTTTTTCAGTAACTATTTCATTTCCATAAAAAGCGTCTGAACACTTATAACTTGTGAGGCTTTAGCAGTGCTGTACTCAAATTCTTGTAACAATGATGAGTAACTTTAAATCTTCATGACAAAAATAAGAATGCAACAAGACTTGCTAGAGCTACTTAATAATGACAGGAATTTTTATTCAAATCAGTGACTCAGTGTAGCAAAATACACCAAAGGGAAAGAAAAGCCATCAAAACAAAAACAAAAAATGCTGATTTTCAGGAACATATGAGAAAATATGAGTTATGTTCACATCTAATAATCTAATTTTCATTATGAATAATTTACTTACATATCCTTCTGGATGTAATTTTGTTAAAAATCGTTTTCGTTTAAAGGAAAGTTTTCTTATCTTCGCCCAAGAGAAGGTATTGATCTTTGTGTAGTTCTGGAACACTAACACACCCATGTGTGCAACTGCAAGGTTTAGAGGCACACCTTCATTATCCTGTGAATGACAAGTACAATACTCAGTAACCTAGTACAAACCATAGCAAAGTAAGCATTAAGTGCATCGTTTATGCATTATTCTCCCTATATACAGTATGTAATTCCTGTAAATAATTTGGTGTTATGCAGCACGAAAAATTTCCAAACATTTCAGATATTTTCATGCACTACGTTGTTACATTCTGCAGCAATACTTAACCATTTGCTCTTGAGTTTTACATGCTGATTTGTAAAAGTATTATAGTTACTATGACTGAATTTGTGGGATGGATTGCGATACATAAGCACACAATGGAAAGATCACAATAAAAAAAAAAACTGGGATAAAAAAAATTACCATAATGTGAATATGAATCAAAAGTAAATTAACAAAAAATCCCAAATTATATTTTAACTCATCAAAGTTGTGATTTAATATGAAATCAAAGTCAGCCAACCAGCCAGGTATAGTAATATTAATAAAATAAAAATAAAATTAATTCATAAAATTCTTAAAGTGCCATACACTAGTAAATTTTCCCTTCCTGAGGAATGGCTTCATGCAGACTTCCAGACATTTTAGATACCTTCCAATATTAAAGATATTTAAAGAAACAGTCAAAGTTCTGCCAATGAATTATCCCACATGACTCATTTAGTACTGTATCATATAAGTAAAGAAGCAATGTGACTGAAATCACAAGATATGTCAACAAAAATCTAAACAGATTATGAGAAACAAATGGCCAGGAGTCAAGGAGACCATGAAAACCCAAGAAGAAAGCACTCTAAATAGAGAACCCCCCAAAAAATTAATATCAGTAATTTAGAACTGTAATAACATTATGCTAAAATGCAGAGGAGTCATTTACATATTACTTGCAGTACACCAGCAGTGCAGAACAGATCATCCTCATCTTATAAACAAGTGTGATTCCTGGTCTGACAATTTACAAATTAATTGTCTGTACAGAAAGCAACCGGACAATCAAAGGGCCTGCTTTACTCATGTTCATCTTACAGCTTGGCATTTGCAAGCTTCAGATTGGTTCCTAAGGGGGCGCCCTACCCTTCCTCAGAAAAAATATCCAAAAGTCATATACTTCCACTACTTTGAGGCCTATTGCAGGCTCCTCTCAATCTCAAACTGACTAAAATCATCTCCATTCACTAGCAGGTCATCCAGTCTGTTAATTGACATGAAGAAACAACCAATAAAACCATACACAACACCCTAGAAAACAATGGCAGTCGCTGTTTTAACCCAAATACAGGTCAGAGGTTCACTGTTTCCATTCCATCAGGCACTGCATGGGACAGGATTTCTTTGTTTATACTGCACACACTTTAACACACAGACCCATTCTCTCATGTCTAGATTAAAATCTACTGATTACAGCATACTGGAGGGCACTAAAATAGCGACATAGATCAACGTGATCGATACTGGTAAGAAAGGGTTAAGGGTTAATAGTATTATACTTTACTGAAAAAATCCACTTTGCCTACAATTAGTGCAGCAAACGCCAGAAAATAGAAACAATGCGAGTTGGCAGTCAAACAAATTATTCAGACTTTACTGATGTGCAATAATGTATAAAATTTTTGTAGCACTGAAATGTGTGACAGGAAGTATATAATAAAATGCATATTCTCAAGCTGGTCTATACTTGACCAGCTTGAGATCAAAATCATTATAAAGTAGTACAACAAACTAACAACTCCAGTGTAATATTGCATATTTGCTTGTTTTTTAACAATACCAGTCATCTCTCACCATGGTAGGGTGACCTAAAAAAAAAAAAAAAGTTGGCCCATTCACCACCAATCATTCAACAGCTGTTCTGCCAGCAGCACACAGGTATTACAATTCAAATGACCCTGCAACCTGCATCATCCATACTACTACTTCAGAGTGTAGGCATTATACTTCCCACCTCTAGGACTAACAATGAGTAACCAGATTCCCAAAATTCTTTCACCATTACCTTGCTCACATTCCAAGAGACATAAAAACCACTCGTCTCCACTCTGATCTAACAAGCTTACATATGCCTGTTGGTTGCTCAAACTCCCAACATTCAAAACCTTTACTCCCTCCCCCCAACCTTTTCTGGGACAACCCACACCCATAACGTACTTCAGCCAAGACTTATACACCACGAGGGTGTACAAGTCTTGGGACTCATCCTCTATATACATACATACAGTGTTATATTTAAGCTTTCTTCTAAAACCTTTGAGTTTAGTCTACTTACAACTCTTAACCCTTTGAGGGTCCGTCCCGTAGATCTACAGCTTTGAAGCCAGGGTCCAAGCCGTAGTTCTACACCATGAGCTCAGCTCACTCATAAGCTGTGAGCGGTAAATTTGAGCCTAGATATGAGAGAATACATCTATGTGGTAAGTGTGCCCCACATAAAACAAATCCTGCAGCACGCAGCGCATAATGAGAAAAAAAACTGCAACTGTATTTTGGATTATAACAGCGACTTTGCGGTGTTCTTTCATGTGTTTTTTTACAGTTGTATTCACGATTTCTTGGTCTCATTTGATAGAATGAAAGATATGTTACAGAAATTGAGATGATTTTGATTGTTCTTAATATTGAAAATGGCTTGAAACTGAGCTCAAAGTAGCGAAAATGTTCTATTTTTGCCGATGTTCAAGAGTAAACAAATTATGTCACGCATCTAATACATGTCAGCTGTTGGGTCTAGTATATGTTCACGAATGTGCTAATGTTATTTATACAATTATTACAATATTGCATATGAGTAAATCTTCTATTTTTTGGTATGAATAAAAATTCATTATGTGAATAAAAAATCAAAATGGAATTCATTTGTAAAGCCTGAAAACATAAGTAATAAATAGAGGAAATGTTAGTTTAGTACCAGGAATGCCTGCATTGTTTATTCTGGACCCTATTTTGAAAATGGAAATATTTTGAACTTTGTGTTAAAGTGGCCAAATTACCAATTTCTGATTATTTTACTGGGTAGTTGGAACAGTTGACTGGGTGATTTCTTGTGTTCAGTCGATAAAACAGAAGTAATACTAGTGAAATAGCTGAGATTTTGGTCGAGTGGAATAATGTAATTGGCCTAAAATGGGAGTCAAATTTGGCAAAATCACCGATGCATAAATATCACGGATGCAGCAATATTCGGAAGAGGGTAATTTCACCAATTTTCCATGAAATTTCACACTTTTTTGTTTTATTACCTTCAGAAAAAGATTCTCTACCATTTCATAAGAATTTTTTTTTTTTTTTTTTTTTTTTAATTCTTGGACCCTGGCTGCCACTCTGATATTTGGTCTCTGGGCCCTCAAAGGGTTAAAGCCACATACAGCTTCAGGGGCAATCAAGTAAAGAGGGCAAAAAAGAATTGTGTGCAGTAATTATTTGATATTAGCAGATTTGTTATCTACAGAACTTTACTATTCACATTTTTTAAGTTCATGCTGCAAATAACCTGAAATATTTGTGGTTGGTTGCAAGTGTACACAAGTCAAAATGAAGGGATAGAAAACAACATTATTTCATATATAGTATTATACATTGCTAATGTTAATAATGTATAACTGCTGTAAACTTCGTACACACAAACAGGTTAAAATAAAAAATGACATGGGAGAAGAGCAGCTTGCAGAGGCAGTACCAAAAGTATTACTATACAGGAAGGACTTAGAGGTGACATTCTGGTTGGAAGAGGGTTAGGAGACTTGTCTTTGAAGCAGCAACATTATTATTTTTATTTGGGGGCTCTGGGGGACTGATGGAATTTTGGGGGGCTTCAGCTCCCTGGCCCCACTCTTGGCACCATCCCCGATTATTCAAGTTACAAATGGTGATCAACACCAACAAATATACGAGACGTGCATTATTATTACATTTATAAAAGAGAAGTTTTAACCACTAAAGTTTTTAAAAAAGCAAGAGTATTACTTAATAACACCCATACCTTTGCAGGGTGCATTTTAATACCATACAATTCACATCTTCTTGCAGTTTCCAAGAGATTTAGATCAGCTGCAGCAGGTGTCATGCCCCTACAAAATATACACGTAAATAATTATTAAATACAGATCTGCAAATGACTATTGTATTCACATTAATATACAAAAATATTAAAAATCACCCAATACAAAATAAATTACAAACAACCCAAAAAAAATTTGAATGCATTTTTAATTACAGTTTAAGTAATCTTCACTTAACACAGAAGCATTGCACAAACTCTATAAATGGGTTCCTCACAGAAGATATGAAATGTTTGGCACATTTACAGAAACACACACATGGGATGTTTCAGACAAGAAGATATGACTGAAAAATTACAATGTTTACAGATGTGATAGAGTGAGCAGGTCACAGGGAGTAGTTCTATATGTGAAAGACACATTTTGTTGCACAGAAATGTCAAATTGAAATCAACAAATGATACAGTAGAAGCACTAAGTATTAAAGAAGAGAACAAGAATCTGGTGATTATCCTTGTATGTATACCATCAGAAAGGGTTGAGGAATTTATGGAACAGATAAGGAAAACAGATGCCTTGAAAACCCTGAAAATCACACACTAAATATCCTCCTTCGAGATTTCAACATTCCATATATAAACTGGAAGATAGTAAATCAGAGCATTGTACTAGAAATAGTAACTGAAGGCACATTACCCCAAAAGATACATACCAGAGGGTTAATGAAGCCTCACTGTGAAAAGATTGCTGTGAACAGATTACAGAACCCACTAGAAATTAAAATACACTTGCAGAATTGAGCTGTCTTGGTACAGAGGACATTTTCCATTCTTCACTGAGTTTCTACTAGTAATGAGTGCGAAGGGTTGGATTCCAGATGGACCTGCCTTCTTACTTCCAATAGTAGATCCCGTCCCCTACAATGTCTTTGAGATCTTCCACCTCGCCTTTGGCAGTATTTAAGACCCGGTTCTCATGTTTCAGCTTCATATCATTCCAGACCATGGAGCTGAACTCTTCTCCAGGCTGAGGAACTGACCACCTCAGATACTTTTTCTCCCTTTATATTTGACTGAAGAAGCCTACTGTGTAGGTGAAACATTTCACCAATAAAGAACCCAACTGTTGCACATGTGTCTTAATCTTCAAAATACACTGTATTTGATCTTCACAAACAATGAATTAATCAGACATGTAAGTCTCAAATACACTGTACTCTTATCACAACATCACAGAAGTACAAACAAGTATAAATATAGGAGTAGCAACTCCAGACATAGTATATAGTATAAGAAGGGATATTCAGTAAGTTTAACTTCAATAACCAGAGAATCACCTGGGACCAAATGAACAAAGAACTATTGAAACATACCCTGAGAAACAGTCAGGAGCACTATAAACCCCCACCAGTGCTTGAAAAAATGTAATACAAAAGTGTACAAGGACTGTACAAAATGTATACTGCTGAGAAAGACAAAAAGATGATCAAATATAGAAAGAGAGCAGAGAAGAAAAAGTGTTGAACAATGTGAATGTGTCACAATGAAGGAAAGATAACTTTGCTGAAATTAAAGAACTGGAACAATCATAGGGATGAAGCACAAAGGAAACTTAAACTAGGTGAAATCACTGAGGCCTTAAAAAGTGCAGACATAACTCCTTTGCATAAAGGAGGCACCAGACGACTAACCAAAAATTACAAACAAGTAACCCTAACATTCCACATCATAAAAGAATATGAAAGGGTCAGTACCATAAGGCATGGTCCTGGCACCTTTGTTTTTTCTCATATCTATAAGAAGCATATACTGTATATAAAAACACTCAACACAGTTTTTTTGTCATTACCTGTGGCTGATAGCAAAATATGTATGAAAACCACTTTGGTACAAGACACAGAAAAATTGCAAAATATAAGCAAAGTTTTCCAGTGAGCAGTAGAAAATAACATGATATTCCATGGTGACAAATTCAAAGTGCTTAGATATGAAAAGAATGAAAAACTCATGAGGGAAACTGTATACAAAATGCAAGAGGACCACCAAATAGAGTGAAATAACATGCAAGGGATCTGTGTGAAATAGTGTCAGCTGAACAATCTTTTAAGGAATACAATAAGGCAATGATCACAATAGCCAGGAAAATAACAGGGTGAATAATGAGAACTTTCAAAACAAGGGAAATAATGCCAAAGGTTTAGAGTACTGTTCAGTGCTGACAGCTCCATTCAGGGTAGGAGAGATATCAGAGCTGGAATAGATCATTTACATCCCACATAGAACCAATGAAAGTGTAGTAGTGAAGACATTGTGAGCCTATAATAAAGTATCAGTTCTTTCAATCAAAAGGAATGAGAAGATAAGAGCTTGTGCATAAATTAACTCAGGTTATGGCCTCCAGAAAAGAATGACCTAGGTAACAGTTAAATAAGATGAAAAAATTAACAAGTGATGGGACTGAGCAGAAAACAAAAAAAAAGTACCACTAAATCTCATTTTAATACAGAAAAAATCCTTAGAGTACTATAAAACTGTGTGATGAGGAAGGACTGCCTGAACAAAGGTGAATGTTTAGTACAGGCTAGTACCACAAGTTCAAAATGTGCAATCAGTTGCATAATATTAAATTTTCTGAAATAAGTGTTTCACCAGACCATGCCGCTGCAGGAAATTTTCCTGCTCAACTGGAGGAAATTATTTCTGAGAGTTACTATGAACCACAGCAAGTGCTTAATACAGTGGACCCCCAGCTTACGATATTATTTCATTCCAGAAGTATGTTCAGGTGCCATTACTCAACGAATTTGGTCCCATAAGGAATATTGTGAATTAGATTAGTCCATTTCAGACCCCCAAACATACACGTACAAACGCACTTACATAAATACACTTACATAATTGGTCGCATTGGGAGCTGATCGTAAAGCGGGGGTCCACTGTACTGACACAACTAGTCTTCATTGGAAGAAGATGCCATCGTGATCTTAAATCAGCCATTAAGAGATAAGTGTTCCAGGAGTCAAGACTAAGGAATCACTTCACCTTGCTACTGTGCAGTAATGTCAGGTGATTTTAAGTGTAAGCCCATGGTTACTTATTGCTCCAAGATTCCATGTTCTTTGCAAGGTAAAACCACCTTACCTGTCAGCATGAATGACAGAGGAATTATTATAGACTAAACATCACTTCATTCCAGAAGTCATGTTTTACCTGTGCAAAAAATACTCTTGCATTCAAGATTCTCTTCACTCTTGATAATTCCTGTACTCATCTTGAATTCTTAGTGGATGTGCATCCACATGTAAAAGTTATGTTTTTACCAAATACAGCATCTTTAACAGAACTACTGGATCATGGTATTAGAGCATTTAAGTGTAACTACACATGACAAGTGATGTGGAAAAATGTTGCAACAATAGATGCTAACTCTGACCTGTGAGCATCAGACTTTTTTGGTGTAAATTTAATACTACAGATACTATCACATATGTCAAAAGTGAACAGAACAAAGTGCCCCAGTCAACATTATACACAAACTGGGGAAAATTATGTCCTAGAGTAACAAATAATCTCACATTTTCCCTTAGCTGGGAGCCAGATGCAGGAAATCACTGAGCCAAATGAAGGCTTTGAAGATATGCAGAATGATGATGAGGAAGAAGGAAGTCCAGAAGAAATGTTGGCAAAGCTCATTGCCCATATACAAGGGAGGTAGATAACAGACAAAGATGTGGAAGAAGAACCTGAAGAAAAATGGTTAACACTGCAACAGTTATGTGACCAATTCCACATTACTGTTAAAGCTGCAGATTTTTTATTTCACAAAGCTAAAAGTACTGCTATGAATGGGGGTCTGGAGCAGAAGATAATGCTATATAATTAGCTATATCAAGTAATGCAGGGTAAAACAGACCAAAGATGCATTGCAGAATTCCTCAATGCTCCAGTACAGCCATCATCAGTGCAAGAACCTCAGCCATCAACCTCAACCAATGATCCACAACCTTCCACCTCAGCCCAGTAGGGCCACACCATACCTCTCCACTCCTTTCAAAATCATTAATATTCACCAATAACCAGAATTTAAAGGTAAGAAATATTATTTGTCACCTTTGTAGCCATAAGCACTACACCTAACTACAATTACATTTTTTTTTTTACAACTTCAAGACCTAAAAAAATTTGTTTGCCATTTTTGAGGGGTTTGACATACATAACCCTATTTATCCCACATGTACTTACATTCATTTTAGACATATTTTTGTTTAGATGCCATTTTTTGGAAATGTAACTGTCTTAACTGACAGACAACTGTATACCAAAGGTAAAGGTACAGTAGGGTTACCCAACATCAGGGTGAAGGGAATTATGTTGGCCATAGTAAAACAATCTAATGATGAAACAAGACAAAAAATGCTGTTTATAAAAGAGATATACCTTGCTTTAATGGCAAAAAAAAAAAATAAACAAAAGCAAGTTCAAGCTCCCCTTCCTTCCCTAGCTTGCAGGCGTTTCATTTGTTGTAGGGTGCACTGACCACTACCCAGCAGGGCGGGTTTCAGTGAGCCACTAAGACATCATATATCAGAAAGGAGGGTGTCAGCTGTTGCACAGGTATATAGAAAAACATGTATTATAGCAGTGTTAAGTAAGGATTACTTGAACAGTATGGTATATAAAAAAGGGTTATTTAATGAAGAATGAATTTCATTACTTACACATGTTTTTTGTGATTTTCCATGATTTTTCTCTCCAGCTCTGGGTCTTGAGAAGGAACAAACTTGTACAAGGAGAGGTAGCGATGATCAGGATAATCCTCTTCAACAAAGTCTCCACATTCCGCTATGAAAAAAACATATCCAAGGTAGTAAATCAAACATAAATTTTGATGGAAGTTTCATATGAACAACTGTAATAACTCATTATACAGTGGACCCTCCCTTTTTGTTCCCGTTTTCATCGATTTCTTCCATTTTTGTCAATCGTACAGAACCTGTCCAGTGCCCAAGGTGCAGACAAAGCCGCCTCCCTTACGCAGTCTTAGGCAGTGTAGCATTGTTTCTCAGTGAGTGAACATATCCTGCCAGGTCATACGGAATATTTCGTAATAATCCATTGTTTTTGGCACTTGTTTATTGAGTGTGACTGCTAAATAAGCCACCATGACCCCAAAGAAAGCTCCTAGTGCCAGTCCTTTGGTAAAGAAAGTGAGGAACACCGTAGAAATGAAAAAAGAAATTGTTCAAAAATATGATAGTGGCATAGGCATTGCTGAACTCAGCAGGATGTATGGGAAGGCACCATCAACAATCAGCTCCATTGTGGCAACGAGAAAAGAAATCATGGAAGCTGATGTTGCAAAAGGGGTGAATGTGATAACTAAACAGAGATTCCAAACAATTAAAAAAGTGGAGAAATTGTTGTTGATGTGGATCAGAGAGAAAGAGTTAGCAGGAGATAGTGTCATGCAGTCGATAATTTGTGAAAAGGCAAGGCAGCTGCATGGCGATCTCATAAAGAAACTGCCTGAAACAAGTGCTGATGTTGGTTGAATTTAAGGCCAGCAAAGGCTGGATCGAAAAATTCAAGAAGTGAAGTGGCATATACACATTGTTGTAAGGCATGGTGAGGGTGCCAGGTCAGACAAACAAGTGGCTGAAAAATTTGTGCGGGAATTCAAAGGTTATGTAGAGGCTGAAAAATTCCAACCCCCAACAAGTGTTCAATTGTTAAGAAACAGGCCTGTTTTGAAAGAAAATGCCAAAGAGGACCTACATCACACAGGAGGAAAAGGCACGCCCAGGACACAAGCCTGTGAAAGACAGGCCAACTGTCTTGTTGTGTGGTAATGCTAGTGGGGATTTCAAAGTGAAGCCTTTACTCGTGCATCACTCTGAAAATCTTAGTGTGTTCAAGAAAAACAGTGTTGTCAAGAGTAAATTGTGTATGATGTGGAAGGCTAACAGTAGGGCATGGGTCATGAGGGAAATTTTCCTGGAATGGATCAATTAAGTGTTTGGCCCGAGTGTGAAGAAATCCCTCCTGGATAATAAATTGCCACTCAAGTGCCTCATGTTAATGGACAATGCTCCTGCTCATCCTCCAAACTTGGAAGACCAATTGTCTAAGGAATTAAGTTTTGTAACGGTGAAGTTCTTGCCTCCTAACACCACTCCTCTCATCCAGCCCATGGACCAGCAGATCATTGCAAACTTCAACAAACTGTACACCAAAACAATGTTTCAAAGGTGCTTTGACATAACCTCGGACTCTGAATTGACCCTAAGAAAGCTCTGGAAGAATCACTTCAATATCTTCCACTACATAAGCCTTATAGATAAGGTTTGGCAGGGAGTGACTTCCAGGCGATGAACTCTGATGGGGAAAATTGTGGCCAGATTGTGTCCAAAAGGGTATGAGGCTGACCCTGTTGACCCTACACCTGTTGTGCAATCAATTGTGGCACTGGGGAATTCCATGGGGTTGGATGTGAGTGGCGAGGATGTGGAAGAGTTGGTGAAGAACCACAATAAAGAGCTAACCACTGAGTAGCTGCAAGAGCTTCATCTGCAACAGCAATAGACCACAGCTCAGGAAATTGCTTCAGACGAGGAGGAAGAGAGATGGAAGAAGGTGCCTTCTTCAAAAGCCTACGTGTAGCATATGTTTTGCTCCATTTATTGTACAAATTTCACAGTACTGTACTATCTCTTAACCCTTTCAGGGTCCGTCCCGTAGATCTACGGCTTTACATTCAGGGTCCAAACCGTAGATCTACGCCATGAGCTCAGCTCACTCTGATAAACTGTGAGTGGTACATTTGGGCCTAGATATGAGAGAATACATCTATGTGGTATGTGTGCACCACATAAAACAGATCCTGCAGCACACTGTGTATAATGAGAGAAAAAAAATGAAATCATGATTTTTTTATTAAAACAGCAACTTTGCAGTGTTTTTTCGTATGTTTTTTATAGTTGTATTTGCGATTTCTTGATCTCATTTGATAGAATGGAAGACATATTACAGAAATAGAGATGATTTTGATTGGTTTTAGCATTGGAAATGGCTTGAAACTGAGCTCAAAGTAGCGGAAATGTTAAATTTTTGCCGATATTCAAGAGTAAACAAACGACCTCACACGTCTAATACACATCAGCTGGTGGGTCTAATATACATTCACAAATATGGTGATGATATTTATACAATTATTACAGTATTGCATAACAGTAAATCTTCTATTTTTTGGTGTGAATAAAAATTCATTATGTGAATAAAAAATCAAAATGGAATTTATTTGTAAAGCCTCAAAACATAACTAATGAACAGAGGAAATGTTAGTTTAGTGCAAGGAATGCCTACATTGTTCATTCTGGACCCTATTTTGAAATTGGAATATTTTGAACTTTGTGTTAAATTGGCCAAATTAACAATTTCCGATCACTTTATTTTGTAGTTGAAACAGTTGACTTGGCGATTTCTTGTGCTCAATCGATAGAATAGAAGTAATACTAGTGAAATAGCTAAAAATTTGGTTGTTTGGAATAATGTAATTGGCCTAAAATGGGAGTCAAAGTCGGCAAAATCGCCGATTCGTAAATATCGCTGACACATCAAAATTCGCGAGAGCATAATTTCGTCAATTTTCCACCAAATTTCGTACTTTTTGTTTTATTACCTTCACAAAAAGATTCTCTACGATTTCATAAGAAAAAATAACAAATTTTTTTTTTGAAAATTCTTGGACACTGGTGCGTGACTCCAGATTTGGGCCTTGGACCCTGAAAGGGTTAATAAATACTATCTGTCCATTTTGCAATCCCATTTTTTAACCCTTTTGGAGTTTCGGCCGTACTAGTACGGCTTATGCGCCAGGGTTTTTGACGTACTATTATGCATAAATTCTAGCTCCCTCAAATCTAGGAAGAGAAAACTGGTAGGCCTACATACGAAAGAATGGGTCTATGTGGTCAGTGTGCGCAGTATAAAAAAAATCCTGCAGCACACAGTGCGTAATGAGAAAAAAAAACCTTTGACCGTGTTTTTGGTTTAAAACAGCGACTTTGCATTGTACAATGGAACCTCGTCTAACGAACGCATCGCATAACGTTAAATCCGCCTAGCGATACATTTTAACGCAAAAATTTTGCCTCGGCTAGCGCTAAAATACTCGATCAATGCGGTTCGTTCGAGACGTGTCCACGTGCGGCCTGAGCCCGCCTCGCTTGTTCCATGGGTGTCAGTGTTTACAAGCCAGCCACCGTGGTTGCTTCCACGCATACAATTGGAACTTTTCATATTATCACAGCCTTTTTAGTGATTGCACCTGTAAAATAAGTCACCATGGGCCCCAAGAAAGCTTCTAGTGCCAACCCTACAGCAAAAAGAGTGAGAATTACTATGGATATGAAGAAAGAGATCATTGCTAAGGATGAAAGTGGAGTGCGTGTCTCCGAGCTGGCCAGGTTGTACACAAAACCCCAATCAACCATCGCTACTACGTATTGTGGCCAAGAAAACGGCAATCAAGGAAGCTGTTCTTGCCAAAGGTGCAACTTTGTTTTCGAAACAGAGATTGCAAGTGATAGATGTTGAGAGACTGCTATTGGTGTGGATAAACAAAAAACAGATAGCAGGAGATAGCATCTCTCAAGCGATCATATGTGAAAAGTCTAGGAAGTTGCATGACGATTTAATTAGAAAAATGCCTGCAACTAGTGATGATGTGAGTGAATTTAAGGCCAGCAAAGGTTGGTTTGAGAGATTTAAGAATCGTATTGGCATACATAGTGTGATAAGGCATGGTGAGGCTGCCAGTTCGGACCACAAAGTGGCTGAAAAATATGTGCAGGAATTCAAGGAGTACATAGACAGTGAAGGACTGAAGCCTGAACATGTGTTTAATTGTGACGAAACAGGCCTGTTTTGGAAGAAAATGCCAAACAGGACGTACATTACTCAGGAGGAAAAGGCACTCCCAGGACATAAGCCTATGAAAGACAGGCTTACTCTGTTGATGTGTGCCAATGCTAGTGCTGATTGCCTTTATTGGTGTATCACTCTGAAACTCCCAGTGTGTTCAGGAAAAACAATGTCCTCAAGGCTAATTTGTGTGTGCTGTGGAGAGAAAACAGTAAGGCATGGGTCACTAGGGACTTTTTCTATGACTGGTTACACCATGCATTTGCCCCCACTGTGAAAAATTACCTAATTGAAAAGAAATTAGACCATAAGTGCCTCCTGGTATTAGACAATGCTCCTGGTCATCCTTCAGACATGGCAGAGCGACTTTCTGCGGAAATGAGCTTCATTAAGGTCAAATTTTGCCTCCTAATACCACTCCTCTCCTGCAGCCCATGGACCAGCATGTCATTTCCAACTTCAAGAAACTGTACACAAAAGCTATGTTTGAAAGGTGCTTTGTAGTGACCTCAGAAACTCAATTGACTCTAAGAGAGTTTTGGAGAGATCACTTTAGCATCCTCAATTGTGTAAACATTATAGGTAAGGCTTGGGAGGAAGTGATTAAGAGGACCTTGAACTCTGCTTGGAAGAAACTGTGGCCAGAATGTGTAGACAAAAGGGATTTTGAAGAGTTTGAGGCTAACCCTGGGAATCTTATGCCAGTTGAGGAATCCATTGTGGCATTGGGGAAGTCCTTGGGGTTGGAGGTTAGTGGGGAGGATGTGGAAGAGTTGGTGGAGGAGGACAATGAAGAACTAACCACTGATGAGCTGCTAGATCATCTTCAACAGCAAGAGGCCACACCTGAGGAAACTGCTTCAGAGGAAAGGATAGAGAAATTGAGGAAGCTGCCTACTTCAAAGATTAAGGAAATGTGT